AAGGACAACGCAGAGCAGCTATGGCTGCTCCAGCTCAGGCCGCCATGCCCAGCCCTGCCTTGAAGCTTCTTGGTGTAGCTCCCCCGGCTGGGGACTCCTTGCTGCAGCGCCCACCAAGGTGATGAAGATGGCTGCCACCATAGCCATGTAAGTACCCCTGGCGTTCCTCCCCCTTCCTCCTTCCTTCCTGCTTCTTCCTCCCTCTAGTCCTTCTTCTTCTCCCCAGCAGCGCAGCTCCAGCCCAGCGCTGCTCCCTCCAGCGCTCCACCAGTGTGTCGCCAAACTTGCACACCGAAAAAGAGGCCGGGTCTTCCGCCCGGCCGGAAGATATAGCGGCCTGCTTTGCCTCTTGGGCGGTGACTTCCAGGCCGCTGGCYTTCCCAAGCARCCGGTACCTCCTCCTCTTTTGGAGGGAACATCATTGCAGACTCTGATATTGCCCCTACAGGCCCTAGACTCAGACTGGTACCCGCTAGACCTAGCCTACACTACCGGCCTCTAAAAATGCCACTTTTGTCTTCTTCTGCTAGGCCTCTGGTACCTGCATATTTACCCCCCTGCCGGGTGCGGTAGTGCTTTTTCCCCGCTGCAACCCTTCGAAGCCAAGGCGACAGGTAAGTACCGGCCCTGAGGGCCCAACGAACGAACAAGTGCCCTGGCGGGCCACACACACACACGCTCTCCCCGGTGCCATCACCCACCACATCCTCTCCTAGCATGTCCCACATGCAGTGTTGGTCATACACCTACGGCAACCGCAGAGGGGTCTTCCTCTTCCTTGCCAGACGTGCGACACACACAGCAGCCCGAGGAGGAAAATGGGCCTCTATATGAACCAGCTTCAGAGCGGGGTACTGATCGCTTATCACCGTCGAGGCGAGCTGTTGTGGACCAAATCCTACAGCAGCAGAAGGCCCTTGCTTTGGACCGACCCTCCCTGTCGCCGTCTGCCCATACAGAAGGAATAAATACTGAGGAAACCCAAGAAACATGCTCTGTGCCGCTGTGTGATGACCCGCCGGAGATTCAACTAGCGTGTGGTGCACGTGCTTTGTGCCGTGAGGATTATGAAGGAATAGTCCATGCGAGTTTCTGCTTTCATACCTACAGTCAGCACTGTACTCATGTACGGCACCCTGACATGTCATGTCCAATTTGTAGACAGGGGTTAGAACGGCAGTGCCTCTATAATTGTGGTCGACGTGCCTCCGTGTT